CACTCACTGGTTATACTTTTTCCTGAAGAGAGGACCATAAACTGTGTGACTGATCCGTTTAAAATGTGACACTGAATTTAAATGTGAATTCTTTTCCTACTCACAGATGAGAGACTTTCTCATTCTTTCTGCTTGAGTGTATGGATAAGGCATGAAAACCAGGCTGAGATGGGAAGTCTTGGAGAAAAGAAAGCTTTTTGTTTGTTTAAAAGAAAAAAACAAAAAACCCCCAGTGTTTCCTCTTTCATACAGAAACCACATCTATCAGAACATCAGTTTTGGGTACCTTCGAACATTAAAACATGAAGATCAGAATTATGCAATGTCAAGGAATGAAGTCACTGGAAAAATCTCATGCAGGCTACAATTTCTCATTGCATAGTGCATGCTGGGTTGACCTGGCCAGCAGCCAAGCACCCTGGCAAGATGGGGGAGAGAGGACAAAAAATAAAAGTGAAAAAATTAATGGGTCAAAGACAGTTTGATAGGTGATGGACAGGGGAAAAGAACAAGCAAAGGGCATCGCTCAGCCTCCTGACACACGCAGACCAACACTGAGCCAGTGTTAGAGCAACGGCCACCTTGGAAGCCAACCCCAACCCCCGCCACTTTTCTCTTCTTCTATCCCAGTTTTTATTGCTGAGCATCACAGTACAGAATATCCCTCTGGCCAGTCTGTCCCAGCTGTGTCCCCTCCCGTTCTCTTGCCCACCCCATCCTGCTCACTCTGCGTGGGGAGAAATAGCAAACTTGGAGGCTGTGCGAGCAGCTGTTCAGTAACAGCCACAACGCTGGTGTGTTATCAGCACTGTTTGAGCCACAGAGTCACCTCCAGCCCAGCCAACCCGAACGTGCAGCTTTCATGTCGGGATTCTTCGCTAAAGGCAAGCACGGCAGAAATCAGCAGATGGCATCAGTGAGAGGCAGATGGCATCAGTGAGAGGCCAGCGCTGGGAAATCACTCTCACTTTGGATTTCCTGGCATTTTGGTGCCTTTCACTTTCTGAATGCATTTTCCCCCAACCCAAACCATTCTGTCATTCTATGATT